CAGCGGAGCTTCCAGAGTCCGATGGATGATCTGTTTCTGGAAATCAGCTAATGAAAGCCGTATGGACCACAAGGGTCCTGTCTCTAACCTGTCACAGCATGGCACAGGATTGAATAGGATTGTTCCATGTGCATGGAGTCACCACGAGTCAGGGAGCCACTTGATGGCAGCTCAGAACAAGAAGTGCCTTCACAGATCATTTGTATTCATCTCAAACAGAAAGTCTACCCGTTAAGACAGTGACTCCCCGTTACCTCCTCCCTTTAACGTCTAGCATACCACACTTCTAGAAAGGATGATATTTTATAATCATTAGAATAGATAATAATTTAGTTAGTGTCTGTGCCTTGTATTGCTCTATTGTTTCATTAAGGATGTGTTTGAAAATTTAATTTTTAAGACTCATAGCAACCCTGAATAGAGTTTCCAAGGAGCAGCTGGTGGTCTTGAAGCACCGACCTTGCAGTTAGCAGTACAATGCTTATCCCACAGTGCCATACCAGGGCTTCCGGAAACCCTATACAGGGTTGCTATGAGTCGGAATTCGGAACCAACTCAACGGTTAGTAGGATAGGAAGACTTTTAGTTTGTTTCAGTGATTAAGCTAAAACTGTGGCTACCAAAAATATACGCATTTCTTGAATTTTGAAGATAAGTTTATAAACAGTCCCTAGAGCTGTCTTGTGTAGTGGTTACAAATCGGGCTGCAAACTTTAAGATCAGCAGTTCGAAACTACCAGCTGTTCGCGGGAGAAAGATGAGGTGTTCTGCTCCCGTAAAGATTCACAGCCTCAGAAACCCTGTATAGGGTCACTATGAGTCGGTTCCAACTCCATGGCACATAACCACCACCACCACCAGAGCTGTCTTGAAATTTCTTAATATATAACAAAACTTTGGCCAATTTTTGGATATGCATAACTTTAAAAGACATTCTATTTCCATGTTTCATCTGTTTTGTATATTGCTATGCCCTAGGGCTTAAAATGGGCAGGCAAAAAATATTGCTGAAATTAACAATATTAGTCGGTTAAGTCTGGAGCTAGAATTGAGATGTGCTCCTTAATACTGAGTTGTTGTTCAGTACTGTTGAGTCAGCTCTGATGTATAAGAAACCTGAATGTGGATTCCAAGGAGCGGCTGGTGGGTTTGAACCACCAACCTTGTGGTTAGCAGCCTAGTGCTTATCCTGCAGCACCACACCAGGACTCCCTTTTAATTCCCTTATTTTCTTTGACTTCATCAAAGTTAATCAGTAACTAGCTAAATTTTTAGTTGCTCTAAATTTAGAAGTAGAGTTTGCCAGTTTTTTGTATGTAGTTTTTTTTTTTTTTAATCAGTGGTGAAGATGCAAGAGTTATATAGAATCTCAATATACCTTCATTCTGATATCCTAGTTGGTAATAATTTATCATACTTTATCATTTTTTTCTCTGTGTGTATATTTTTGTGGTCCATTTATGTCTAAATAGTTTTTTATGGTTTGTTTTTGTTTTAAAACTTTTTGTTGTAAATTGAGTGAAGGTTTACAGAACAGATCACCAGTTTTACATTCAACAAACCATATACTTGGTTTCATTACAGTGATTGCATTCTCCACAATGCGCCTCAGTTCACAGTATTTACCTCTCTTTCCTTTAACTCTTGGCAGTCACCCATGTTAATATGTGTCTGCTCTCTTGTTGTTACGTACCGGTAAGTTGGTTCCAACTCAACAGTGACCCTGCATAGGGTTTCTGAGGAGAGGCTGGTGGGTTTGAACTGACACCTTGTTCTAGCCTGTGAATAATTCCCTCATGCCTTCTACCCTCCACTCTCTGCTAACCATCATAGAATGCTTCAACAGTGGTCTCATACAATTATTTTTACTTTTCTCGTTGACTAATTTCATTCAGCATAATGTCCTCCAACGTCATCCATATTGTGAAATAGTTTACAGATTGGTTATTTTTCAACATTGCTTAATATTCCATTGTGTGTATGTACCAAAATTTGTTCAACTATTCTTGTGTTGCTGGGGATTCAGATGGTCTCCATCTTTTTGATGTTGTAAATAGTGCTGCAGTGAACATGGGTGTGCAGATATCTATTTTTGTCACAGCGCTTATTTCTTGAGGATGCATAGCAAGTAGAGATCACTGTGCCATATGGTATTGCTGTTTCCAGCTTTTTGAGAAAGTGCTGTACTGTTTTCTACAGTGCTTGCTTCATTTTATAGCC